ACACTGAGTGGCCAGATTATTATGCGTTCAGAGATCATCATAATCTGGCCACTCCGTATACACATCCACCACATTCTTCCTCTCTTTCCTGTCAGTGCATCAGCTCATCAGAGAACAAGGTGTTCTTTTTTTCTGACATGGAGCCATGTATCTATGTGTAACCATAGCTGCCCCACAGTGCTACCAGTGGAAACTACACACTCTAGGGACAAAAGCTCTTTCTCCCAGTACCAGGTATCAATCTTCTTAAAACTGTAATTCCCTTCTTTAAGTGCTTTCCATTCTTTAAATGGTTTCCATCCTTTAAACACATAAAGGATTGAGCCCTGACCTATTTACCTATGGCTGCATAACAAATTACCCCAAATCTTAGTGGCTTGAAGCAATGTTTACTGTTTCACAGTTTCTGTTGGTTAGAGGACCTACTTAAGGTTTATGCTCTGGCTCAAGATCATTCTTAAGGAAGGTCCGCCATTTCAGGAGTGGGGCAATGATCTGCTTCTAGGTTACTTCTGTGGTTGTTTGCAGGATTCAGGTTTTCAGAGCTGGTGGACTGAGGCCTCCATTTCTGATGTGTTTGGGGAATAAGGAATAACTTTGTGTTACTGGAGCATGGGAAATTGTAGGAATGGTGGACTGTAAGGTGGGCAAAACTGAAGCTAGATTGTGAAGGACTTTGTGAACTAAAGTGAATTCGACTTTAATTTAGGAAAAATAGAGAGCCCTAGAAGCGTTGCCTCCAAATGATAGTACATAACCTTTACTGAATCATGCTATGAGTTAGGCATTATATTTATCTCACTCAGTCTTCACAGCCATCATATGCAGTATGTTCTATTATTAGCAACATTTAAATAAAACCTCGGAGTCAAGTAGTTTTAGCCTCAAGTCACATTGGTAGGAAGTGTCAGCCGGAGATGTCAATCATGGGTTGACAGCAGTTACTTCCCTGACCCTGGTCTGTGCCACCCCACATATTTGTTATATTTTTTCCTACTCACCTTAGTCAGAAGGCCAAGAAATGCAATTTTTGAATCTACATTTTGTGTTAGATACAGGAAAAACTTCAGCAATAGTTTCTTTTCTTTTTTTTAAAATTTTATTATGTATTGGTTTTGGGTGTACAGCATAGTTGTTAGACAATCATATAATTTACATAGCGTTCCCTTGATATTTCCAGTACCCCAAATGGCTCCATAAATAGTCATCACTATATTATTGACTGCATTATCTATGCTTTCTTATTTTCCCATGACTATTTTGTAACTACCAATTTGTACTTCTTCATCCCTTCACCTCTTTCACCCAGTGCCCCAACGCCCCCTCCCCAGGTCTCTCTCTGCATCTATAAGACTGTTTCAATTTTTTTTTTGTTCTTTAGATTTTTCATGTAAGTGAAACTATATGATATTTGTCTTTTTCTGACTGACTTATTTCATTGAGCATAATACCCACGAGACCCATCATAAGCAATAATTTCTTTTGTTGTCTCAGATATGATCTCTCTTTATGATTTTGAAAAAATTCCAACATACACAAAATAGAAGAGCATTAATGAGCTTAGCTTCAATATTAATTGATATTGTGCCACTTTGACTTCATCCATCTTTCCTCCACCCTCCAAATTTTACTTCTAGAGTTTTAAAAAGTGAACTCTAAATATAGCATATTATTTTAACCATAAATATTTCACTATCTGTAACCAATCAAAATTTAAAAATATACAGTCATAACATCATTATCACAACCAATAAATTAACAGTAATGCCTCAATATGAGATCTTATTTTTAAGAACATTTTTTTCTTTTTTAACAAATAACATATACACAAAAGCTGCACTGAATAGAATGGCAGGATTCACATGAATGAATCCTTTTTATATAAGTAAAGTAATATGTTTTCAACTGACTTTATAGGACTGATCTTGTTAGAAAGGACACATGTCTCAAGGTCTGGGCAGATCTTACTAAGTGCTATTCTTGCTGAAATTTAAAATGCAGCACAGTATTTTGCAGATGCAGCTGTAACAAGATGAGCTTGAGAGGAGCCCAATCTGATAAGTGACTGTCACTAGCTGTTTTAAAAGAAGAATCAAATGTAATTGACCACATAGTGTTAATAAGCAATGGCTAAGCTCCCCTTAGGCTTTGGATATAAGTTCATATGCAAAATAAATAAAACTGCCTTGCAACAACTTTCTTGAATAGAGCACCCAATCTTCAAAACCCTTGAGTTTGATAACAATCTGTATACAATAACAGTGACTTTTAGTAAGATTTATTGCAGGAACTTTTTCCAAATTTATGATAGTTTAAATGTGAGTCATATTTTGATAAGGGCAGGGTTCACAAAGAATTCAGCTACTACAAATTAACACCTAATGCAGGTAAGACCTCTGGAGGCAAATTAACCTTCCTTTCCTATAAGTAGGGGTTGTAGATTCATGTCATGTGTCCTGTAATACTCATCTTTATATACTTATCTGTGTATTCAGAAATCAGTTTTCATGATATGTTGATCACTGTCAACGGATGGTCATTGATGCCAATTCAATGTCAACAGGAACCCCCAATTTGGGGTGCAGTGAAGAAGGAAACTTTATTCTGTGCAAAACAGCTCAATTGTGATACAGCATGGCTGTGCAACAGCCCTGGGGCCAAGCCCTCCTATAGCTCAGCGCCTAACTGGAAAAACACAACCCTCGTCCTTCCTGGTCAAGGGACAGTGCACTCTCAGATCCTGAAGGGAACTGGCTTATCTATACTAATAAGGAGAAATATAATAATTGACTGTCATTCCACAATGACTACAGCCAATCAGGAAGGAATATGCAAATTAGCAGGACAAAGATGACAGCGGCCACAGAGCCAGTCTGAGCACACAGAAGGCTTTGTTGCCTGGGCCGATTGCTGAGAGTGGGGCCTGCAAACACCCTCAGCCCTTACTCCAGGCTGGCTACTCCACCATTGGGGTGAGGGTCCCTGCTGGGGAGTATGGCCAGCCTGCAAACAGCCATCAGCCCCTCACCCAGGCTGGCCATGTCCCCCCCAGCGGGGATCCTCACACCAGGGGGGTGTGGCTAGCTTGCAAACTGCCCAGCCCCTTGCCCAGGCCACCTCAACCCCCAAGGGAACCCCTCCCTGATCCAGGACACTCTTCAGGGAAAATTAGCCAGCCCCCACCCATGCACCAGGCCTCTATCTATACTAATAAAAGGGTAATATGCTAATTAGACGGGGACACCTTCCAGGAGACCTTCTGGACATTCTTTTGGACAAAGTCATGGTGGAGGTGCTTAGGGGCCAAGATGGGAGGGCAGTTGTGGGTGATCAGGCCAGGATGGGACAGCAGTTGTGGATGATCAAGCCAGTGAAGGGGGGTCGAGCATTGGGGGTGATCAGGCCTGTGAGGGGGCAGTTCCGGGTGAGCAGGCTGTCTGTGGGGATCAGTTGGGAGTGATCAGGCAAGCAGGGGGAGGCAGTTGGGAGTGAGCAGGTTGGCTGGCAGGCAGAGTGGTTAGGGGCAATCATGCAGGAAGGCAGATGAGTGGTTAGGAGCCAGCAGTCCCAGATTGGAGAGGGTGCAGGCCGGGCTGAGGGTCACAGTGCACAAATTTTGTACACAGGACCACTAGTATAGACAGAAGTAGGTGCTCCTGGTCCCTGATTGGTCTGGCCTCATGTAAATGACTCCAAATCTTCAAAGTTTTATTGGCCCCAAAGGCACTGTCTTGATTGGTTAGAATAGAGCCACTCTGGTTGTTTGGAGATGCAAAGCTCTGACTAGAGGGAGAAAGCTTCAGTCCTCTTGATTAAAGCAGGATTCCAGGAACCGCTTTATAAAAGCTGACTCAGACAGCAGCAACACAATACAGGCAAATAGTTCAGTGCAGAGACAGGTAGTTCAGTTTAAGCTTTTCCCTGAAATGGAGAAGCCCTTGTGTAGAAATGGCTGCCAGGCTTATTATTATTATTATGTTGTTGTTGTTGTTGTTGTTGTTGTTGCCAGGCTTATTATTATTATTATTATTATGTTGTTGTTGTTGTTGTTGCTGCTGCTGCTGCTTTTTAGCTTTAGCCCATTAGCCAACTTCTTAGTGTCTTCATTCTCCTCTGAGTTCACATCAGGTTGCTCAGTTTCATCCTTTGAACACCTAATGATTCTTATAAAGCACACTTCAAGAAGCTCACCACCCTCTAATTGTATTGCAGTCACACCCAAGAGTGTGGTGACCTCTAGGTACAGATGCCATGTATCTGGAAAGAAATTTGGAAATATTTAAGGCTTTCATTTATATCTGACCAAAAAATAAAAATAAGTGAGGTGCATTTCATTGCAACTGGCAATAGTCTTATCAACTGGCAATAGTCTTATCAACTTATTAGTACCCATGTTTTAAAGATTTTATAAAATTAAAATTGTTTTTGCAAAAATTTACAACTGCATAGTTTCACAATTAACTCCAACCAGGCAATATACACACACTGAGAGTACTTGAATTTGCCTTGACCTTTCAGCCAGAGTTAGAGATGCCCTCTGTGTACCTCCATTTTTCATTAAACAGGTTTCCTTTGCAGTGCGTTGTTCTTTTTGCTGCCCTCTGAGGAGGGGATGCATTTTTTAAATGAGTGGCCATGTTTCTCTTATAGAAGCACCCACACGCGCCAGCCGCCCTTCCTGGGGTAGCCTGGGCACATGGGTGCCTGTTCCTACTTGGGCAACAGCAAGTCATCAGTTTATTCTCAGCTTAGAGGTCAGCAAGAAAGGGAGGCCGTCGCCTAGGCAACCGACGCCCCGGGCCGCGCGGCGAGTCCGAGTCGGGAGGGGGCGTGGCCTCAGCGCGCCGCGGCGGTTAAGAGGCGGCGCCCGCCCCCGCCTCCAGCCGGGCCTGTCCGCGCGGCCCGGTGCAGCCTGCGGAGCCCGAATCCACCCCGGGAAGGTCCGGGGTGCAGCGAGCAAGGCCGCGGACCAGCCTCTCCCTTCCGCTCCGCGCCCCACGATGGCCGGCGAGCGCTGCAGCCCGCTGCTGCTCATGGCGCTCCTGGCCGCCTGGGTGGCGGCGGCGGCGGCGGCGGCCGCGGAGGAGGAGGAGGCCGCGCCCCAGCACGCCGTGCCGTCGGCCGAGCAGAGCATGGTGCTCCCCATGACTGCCGCCAACTGGACGCTGGTGATGGAGGGCGAGTGGATGCTGAAATTGTGAGTGTGCCCGCCTGCCCGATCCGCACGCCACGCGGCCCGCGCTCCCAGCGTCCGGCCGGCCGCCCCCGGCGCCGCACCGCCCGGGGGGCTGGACCTCCGGCCCCGGGCGGGCTGCGCTACCGCCGGCTGCTCGCGCTGCGCATGCGCCGGCCCGGCCCGCCTGGGTGACAGCCCAGGGGGAAGCTGCTCCCGCGCCTAGCCAGCCCCGCTGCTCCCGCGCCTAGCCAGCCCCGTTTTAGGGAAGAGTGCTTTAGGGATGGGGTGGCGGAGCAACTTCCCACGGAGAGGTCATGAGAGGGGAGATGGAGAAAATCTGCAAGAACATTGCATGCTTTTGATGTAGGCGTGTAGGTAGAGGAGAAAGGGCGGTCGTTCAATGACACAAGCAGTACACATACTCAGCGTGAGCTAGGCAATGGATTGGTTGAATGAGCAATTGCAGCACCGAACCGGGAAGGGCAGGCCAGTTGGTCTCAACTATCTTAGTATTCATTTTGAAAATCCGAGATGTGAAAAAATAAAACAGATTTTGAAATCTTAAAATCAGATGTTGATATTTTCAGGGGTAGGGCTTTCTGGGTAAATTATAACTTAATTGTGCTAGTGTCATAAAGAAAAGGATATTAATAAATTACCCCCCTTTGAACAATAGAAAGTAAATCATGGTTCGTGCCTTTGCTTGATGGCAAAGTACAGTTTTGGGTTAGGAGCAGGCAAGCGACTTTATCATAGATTAAATTAATTTATACCAGGAAGAAAGATTTCAAGTAAACATGATAATCTTGAGAGACCATTCATGGTGGGCCTGCAGAGAAAATGAAGGATGGAGAACAGATCACTGAGATTGACCTATGGTTTTAGCAATGTACATACTTAATCATTACTCTTTGACACCTAATTTTTCATTGAGGACATATACATTCACATAATTGGATCTTTCCTTTATCTGTCCCAAGCTAGATTTTAAACCTATTTAGATGCAAGCAGAAGCCTATGAAATGAAAAAGTCCCTGTGAGAACAGGGCCAAAAGTTATATCACTTAGCAGATTACATTGTTAAAAGTACAGAATGCATGTTACTATTCAAACATAAATTTACCCTCTAGACCTCAAAGTCTAGACACCCTATATACAACAACCTTTGGTATCATGATAAGTCAATGAAATTATTAAAGAGATCTGTTGGCATGAAGCTCTTATTAAAGTAACCACTTAACTATGAATAGAGGTGAGGAAGTCATTTTCCTTTTAGAGAGAAACTTTTAAGCAAAATGGAACTTGACTCAGGACTGCCATGTTTGTAAGGGCTTATTTCATCAGAAAGTATTACAGGCAGTTCTTTTTTCAGGAAGTACTTACACAACAGAGTTTTTCTAGGTGTCTGTTTTTTGACTAAAACAGTTTGTGTATGACATGAAAGTCAAAGCAGAAAGGCTTCAACTATTTTATAGTTACTTTTGAAACAGCACTTTTTTTTTAAGTAAAAGAACTAAGAACACTAAGGCTGAGGTAAGTGTAAGCCAAGTTAAGCTTATAAAGAGGCAATATCCAATAGCTCCTATGCTTGGCCACGTTGACAATTCAAAATTACTTCTTCATACATGTATTATACAAGCCCAGATGGAGTAATCGGTTGCTCTACACTTGTCATGTGTCCTTTGCATGGAATGCGTTTGGGCTGTGTGAAGCATGGTGAGACTTGTAACCGGAAGTAAGCTGTGTAGACAGGAGATCATTTTGGTAGTTCTCTTCAGAACAGGAACAAGGCTGAAAGAGGATCTCAACCACTGCATCCGACTTTCTACATCCTGAGCCTGGGTGCTTGACTGAAGAAATATTGTGGCTCTTGTCTATTTGTGACACTCCTCAAAAATGTAGAATTCATTATATTCTCACTACCTCTATACTAAGAATTCATTCTAACAGCCAATAAGTTAGACTTTTTTCATGAAATACAGAGTGTTCCTCAAAAAACAAAACACAAAAAACAAAACGGATATACAGTTGAATAGCTGATAGCTCCATTTTGAAAATGAAATGTATTTTAACAAACACTGCAAGTGTATGTATACTTTTTTTGGACACCCTATACACAACAGAGAAAAACAAAATGTGTTAATACTGGTTTTTATGATAACACTATTCAGCTGAACTGGTCCTAATACATGGGAATTGTTAGAGATTCACAGTGTTAGACACAGTATTAACTTCTCTGAAGAATCAAGTTAGGCTTTCTGACAGTATTAAAAAGTTGACATTACTTCGAATGACAGTTCTTTATTTGTTCATTTGCTTATATGCTTCCTCTCTTCTGGGAATCTTTTTTTTTTTTTTATATATTCCACTTCATACAAAGCTACTGTAATGCAATTCCTGGTTATATTGGTATTAATAATTTAATTATTTTAAAGGATCTAACAGTGTTTGTCTGCTCTAAGACATGAAAGGCTTTTACTATAAAATTTAATACGTACTACTTTCAGTTAATTTTTTTGGATCCTTGCAACTGAATATCAGTTCTTATAAAGTACTCTTTGCTGAGGAGAAATAAACTTAAAAATATATTCCCAATTTGGAACCTTTTTTAAGATCTGAGAAATTCATCCATTACTACATATTTATATTTTCTTTAACACTGTAAACTTATATATTCTGTTTTTATTTTACTTTTTGCCTTCATACGTGGTTCTGTGATATCTACTCGCATTTCTTCCATGTCTCTATAATTGGTTTTCTGTGCTTTTATTCATTAACTGCTGGTGGAAAATTTGCTCTTTCTCAAGGTTAGGGCAGATTACCTAATCTTTAAAATGCCTTCTAATGTTTTATTTCCATTGTTTCACACTATCTTTTATTCAGCTGCTTTGTAACCTTTTGCTATTTTAAACACTTTCTTGACTCCCATTATTCAGTCTGAGACATGGCTTTTGTTCTTTTGAAACAAAAGTGTGCAATTTAATACATTCTGTATACTGTTCTGGTACCTGTTTCCTCTAAAAGAAATATGAAGATATCCAAATAGCTTAAGAGTGACCCACTGACGTTTAAACTGATATACAGAGAAAAAGTATGTCTTTGGGTTAAAATTCCTCAGGAAAGCATGCAGATCTTTATAAAGCACTACTCTTTCCGAGTTCGTTCTTGGAATAATCATGCCTCAGAATTGCAGTTAGTCATCTGGTGGTGGAGGAAAGCCTCATTTACTTCCCTAGGACCTCTAGGTTTTAGTATTGTTTCCTCCATATCCTTATTATAACACTAGGGGCCTGGTGCACCACATTCATGCACTCGGGGAGGGGGTAAGAGGATGGGGGGTCCCTCAGCCAGTCTGCACCCTTTTGCAGTCTGAGCCCTCGGGGGATGTCCGGCTGAGGGGAGCAGGTCTAAGCCCCAGTTAGCCATCCTTAGTGCTGCACCACCGCCCCTATTCTCGCAATTCCAGTTAAGAGTGTCGCTGCCCCCGTGGGAGTGCACTAACCACCAGGAGGCAGCTCCTGCATTGAGCGCCTGCCCCCTGGTGGTCAGTGTGCATCATAGCCACTGGTGGTTCTGCCATTAGGTGGATTTGCATATTAACCTTTTATTATATAGGATTCTTCCCTTACCTTACCCCATATCAAATAGTTATAATTTTTTGCAGTGTAATAGATTGTTTTGATTTGGTGATTCTGTTTTTGAGATAGTCAATGTTTATCATGTCTCAGCTTCAGAGTTGGGGATCTGGGAAGATGAAAATGAATGAGTCACATTCCTTCATTTCAAGGGACTGTCAGTCTGCTGTGCCCTGAAGGAAATAACTATTATATGTAACATTCATTTATTTAGAAAATATTTACTAAATATTTCTTATCTATTGAGCATCTAACAGTGGTTCTTACCAGAGCATTTTGGATTGGACAGTTCTTTGGTGTGTGGGGATGGTTCACACATGGCAGGACCTGTGGCATCCCTGGTTATTACATTCTAGTAATCCAGTGACATCAAAATAATTTAACAACCTCCATCTCTGATGCACATGTCCAAATATCTCTGAGAGAAAACCACTGCCCCAGGTACTGTTATGGTTATTAAAAAACATGCAAAAGAGGAATTCATAAGCTAATGAAGAAGCATTTGATTTCTGAATGTTTCCACAAAGGGTATTCATCTACATCATTAGTGTCATTGTCATTTCAGTCACAGTGAACAGTTGTATTATTTACATCACAGTTTCTTAATCCTCTCTTATTTGATCATCCAGCAATCAGATACAGAATTATCATTCTCAGTCTCATTCACTGGAGGAGATGGAAACTTGGGAAGATGAAAGCTTTGACTAAGGCTGGATGTTTAGTAAGTGTGGGCAAGGCCAGAACTATTGTAGAATGCAGACCTGAGTTTGGCAGTCTTTGATCAAGCCAGGAAGAGTAGCTGGGTAGTGGGGGAGCCTGAAGGAAGGCATAGAGTTGGGCTGGTTAGTGCTTAGGCTTGAAGCTAGCCAGTACCTCTGCCCACATAAGGGGAGGCCTTTTCCTTATGGGATTCAGTGGCCTATGAATGGTCTTACCATCTTTCTAGTTTCTGCAAATGAAGAGTATTATTGCCATACTAGAGGCCTGGTGCACGACATTCGTGCACTCATTGGGGGAGCGTTCCTCAGCCTGACCTGCCCCCTTTCTTAGTCTGGACCCTTGGGGGTTGTCTGACTGAGAATTTGGGCCATTGAGCTTGCCAGCCATCAGCCCGGCTTGTAGCTGAGCATCTGCTCCTGGTGGTCAGTGCACATCATAGTGACCAGTCATAGCTCATCATAGTGACCAGTCGGTTTGTATATTACCCTTTTATTATATAGGAACCTCACCACTCAAACAGGTGCTCTGACTTCCCAACTTCCTGGGAAAATTCTTTTTCACTGTGTCTTATTTGTACCTAGCAGGGCCCAAGTCACATCTTATATTATCAGTTAATTTATATGCTTTGGTACTGAGTTTTTTGTCTGAGTCCTTCTATGGATGATA